ATAATATATGTACGTATCTTGTTCCTAGTATGCAAAAAAGTTTTTTGAACTTTTCAAAAACACCCTTGATTTTTTTAAACTACAGTAAGCTTCTTAAAATCTTAATCGGATTTATGGCTCAGTGGTAGAGCATTGGGTTATAAATCCGAAGGTCGGGTGTTCGAACCTGGGTTGAGGCGAATTTTTCATCTGTGGCGGAGATGGAAATTACCTTAGACCAGTTCCGAGCATTCTACCGGCTACTCCGAATTAGGTTTTTCTGCAGTTTTCCTAATTCGTAAGGTAAATACCGGAGTAGTATAGACCATCTTAAGACCTTCTGCAGAGGCACCTCTAAATAGCATTGTGCGGGTCACTCTGTAATTGGGCGCATGCCTGTTGAGGGCCCAAAACAAGAGAGGGATAATAAACGAGTTTCAGCCAGCTCAGTTGCCGGCTGCACCAATTGATTGGCAAATGATTCTCAAGGCGTAATTGAAACAGTTCATATTGAATGAAATAATTGTCATATTTTCACTAGGCCATCACTATTGTCTAGTAGTACTACAAATACTGGGTGACATCCTACATCAACAATTAATGTTAGTCTAGGCGAGATAGTATATGAAATTTAAAAAATTCTGTATCGCCAGAAAATCAAACCCTGTCCATCACCGTGCAGGCTCAGGATATTAGACGACGACAGCTAGCATCTTAATAGATATGAATAATTGTCTCGTACTTACCGCTGCCATTGTGAAATAGGAGCAGGTGACGGTTTCTTTGCTGTAGCTTTCTGGTGCTGTTTCGACAACGACGGATAAATGTACAAAATGTGGCTTGACCTTGTCACAGGTCACAGATGCTACAAGTACAAAAGAAAAATTCATCGGTACCTACTAACACTAGGACAAAACAATAATTTATGCGTGTGTATGTTTCATGTGGAATGAGCTTTCCACATGCTTAATAAAAATCTATTGACTGAAATGTTTATTTTGAGGTTATATATTCTGCAAAACTACTCACCTATTTTTATACTATTATTTCACCTCTATTTAATAATTCACAATAATTAATTCATGCGCTTCTAGCTTCACTGTTCACTGGGGCTATATTTGCTAAACTAGAAAAAAAATAAGCAGGTAAAGTAAAACGTAAACAGAAAAATGGCGCGTTTGGTGCACAACGCAAAAGTAAAATAGAACGTGTTTACTGTACCCAAGGTGGCTGTACCTACTCACATGGATGTCTCGATGGGCACGTGACCAATAAATGTTTCCATGTTGCATTTATTTTCGCAACGGACATATTATGAGCTTACTACTGGGAATCGTTTCGGTGTTGCCTGCGTGCGAGTTTAAATGTAAAATAATAACATGTCTGAAACTGCGTAACCATAATCGCATCATCAATGCAAAAATGACACTTTATGTAACATTTCAGAAACGTTAGCTCCTTACTGGGTAGTTAATTAAATTGGAGGGGTTAAGTGGAAGAGCAGATGTGTGGTCATGTACCCCATCTGAACTGCGCCCCATTGGATTGTGTCAAAATTATGTCTTTTTTTTGCCTTCTATTATGTTTTATACACTATCCACTAAAAGACAATTTATTATTATTATTATTATTATTGTTTCTAGGAAACTTATATATCACTTGGTCGGTCACTTGTATCTGTAAGCTTACCTATATAAGTTTGCTTCACTTTTTATGAAAGAAAGTTCACATTTTATCTTACCAGGAAAATAACGAAGATAATATACATAAGTTGTGGCAACACTACACATTAAACTATCTGGAAAAATAGAAAATCAAATTTGTAATTCATTTGCAAACGGTTTGGTTCCTTTTTAGTGATGTAACCTTATTAGGAAAATATGGTGAGTTTCTTTTGTTTACTTTATTCATTTTAGTAATTTTGATGGTATATTACAGTCATATAAGGGGGCCCTAAATTATGAAAAAAAAAGAACGGCTAGGGTCAGGGCGCCAGTTATGGCCACTACACAGGTTATGGCCACCTTAAAGTTGTATCTGATGTATTAAGGTCTTGTGAGCGATTATTCGAACCATTTAGGTTTCATAGCAGTGTCCTAGTTGTACTAATTATGTAACAGCAGCATAGATGGCCTCAGTCGCTAGTGAAAGTTTTAATGGCGGATCTGTCATAAAAGTGTAGGTGGTGTGCACATTTCTTAAAGAATTTGGTAAGAATAACTTTTTTTAAATCTTTTATTTTCTGCTACACTAGGTGTTATTTAAGATAAATATATGAATAGATCATTAAGATGATGCTGCAGTTTTAAGTATTTAATAGTGTGACTTATGAAAATTTATCAAACACTTACTGATAATGTGGGTGGCCATAATCGATTTAATTTATCTCTAGTTTTGGCCACTGCATGGCCATAAGGGGATACATGGGAATCTATTTATGGCCACCCTTGTTTTATTGGTTGATGCTTATTTCTATGGGGCGTAGGGTGCAGAAAATATGACCTATCGATAATTTCAGATAATATGGTTTCCAATAAGAAAATTAAGAAGCAATCGAACAAACCTAAATCTAAAAGATTTTTGTATTCCCCCAATAAAGTGGGCCAGGCTCTTCAAGCAATTAGGGGCGGGATGCCTGTACTACGAGCGAGTAGAGAATTTCAAGTACCCCGTACAACTCTGCGAAACAAATTAACGGGCAAGTGTCCTGAAGAATCGCCACGTCATTGTGGGCCTGATTCTGTATTGGGCAAAGACAACGAAAACTTATTAGTGAGCTGGTTACTAAATTGTGCCAAAATGGGGTTTCCTATTGATAAAGAAGGATTGCTTACTTCTGTTAAGAAACTAGTGGATGCTTCCCAATTACGAACACCTTTTACAGACAACAAGCCAGGAAAGAAATGGTATTACTCCTTTCTAAGCAGACATCCAGTTCTTTCTCAAAAACAAGCAGAATATGTAAATAAAGCCAGGGGCACTGTTACTGAAACTAAAATAAGGAACTGGTTTTCCGAAATATCAACTCTTTTGGAAGAACATATGGGCATATTTAATGACCCGAAGAGAGTATTTAACATGGACGAGACCTGTTTCTTTTTGGCACCTAAAGGAGGGCTTATTATAAGACCAAGAGGACAACACGTATATAATGAATCCAGTAATTCCGATAAAGAAAATATAACGACTCTGTTTTCGGTTAATGCAATGGGCCAATTTGCTCCGCCACTAACATTATACAAATACGAACGAATACCCGCATCAATAGCTCCAGCAGCCCCAACTGGCTGGGGCATAGGAAAGACGGAGAATGGTTGGATGACTTCGGAGAGCTTCTTTGAGTACATCGCTAATGTTTTCGTTCCTTTCTTGAAAGAAGAATCCATTCCGTTACCAGTCATAATATTCATTGACGGTCATCGTTCGCACTTAACCATTGAATTGAGCCGGTTTTGCAGGGAAAATCATTTAATCTTAGTCGCGCTGTATCCCAATTCAACCCATATACTGCAACCACTAGATGTGGCTGTATTTGGACCTCTGAAGAAGATGTGGCAGAAAACTTTAAGAAAATGGAGAATCGACCATGATTGGAAGAGAAGTCACTAAAGTTGACGTTCCAACAATTTTGTCACAGCTTATAAACGGTTATGGAATGGTTAAAACAATAGTATCTGGATTTAAAGCCACAGGACTGCAGCCATTTAATGTAAATAACGTAGACTTCTCAAAAATTATTGTTCGGGAGATCCCAAAAGAAGTTAATGTGGATGAAGTAAGAGAACACCTTAAATTTATTGAAACAAGAATTGAACCAACCCTGCTACTTGAATTCAAAGAGGCGAAAGCCAAAAGTTATGACTGGGATGGAGACCAAACGGCGACATTATTATTTGATTTTTGGCTGAAAGTGGCAAACGAAGCTGAACATAAAGTAGAATCGGAAAAAGAGAATTTGAAATCCCCTGTACCCAAAAGTCCTCATTTAGTAGAAGACGAACTTCACAGAACTCCATTGAAGGAATTGCAATGTGAATCTCCGGGTTCTGACATTATAATACCCGAACCTTTTCAGGATGTTGCTGATAGTTCAACACCATCAACTTCATGTATACGACTAGTACCCAAACGAACCTTGGCCACTATATTTGACGACATTGTTCCATGGCCTAATAAGAAGCCAGTCCTAGGAAAACGAAAAAAGGAATACACTCCAAGCGTTATTACTTCAGACAGATGGTTGGAATATCATGAACTGAAAGAAAAAGATAAAAATGAAAAGCAACAGATCAAAGAAAAGCGTAAATTAGAACGAGAACAAAAGAGTAAAGCGAAACAAGAACTAGCTGCAAAAAAGTCTGTTAAGAAAGTCGCTAGTAGTGATACAAGCTCAGAAGAAGAAGAATGGGTCGAAAGTGGCAACAGCATCGATGACATCGATTTTCCGGAAAACGAAGATCAAGATTCCCCAGAGCTTTTGTCCTGTGACGGTTTAAAGGCAGGGTAACTTTATTTTGGGATCGTTTAAAGCGATTGGCAAAAGGGCATCCATACTTTATAGGTATGTTGCCACAATCCTGAGAACTTTACCAAACAATGAATTTGAGATCCAATGCTTGAAGAGTTTGGATGAAACCAAAAACCAGTTTTACTTACATTGAAAATGATGTGTCCATTATCAATATAGCTGACATTCTTGGGAAATTACCTGAGCCGCAATTAGTAGAAGATGGTAGGATATTAAAGACCGTTTTCCAAGCACCAGTAAATGTATCGGAAAAAAAATAAATTTATGTGTATATATGTCGCAGCCGTTTAATGAAATTGGACATTTCATGAAAAGTCTAGACACTTCATGAAATGCAGCCAGATAGTGAAATAAAATGATATTTCACCAAGTGACTAATTATTTTAGTCACTTCATGAAACGCAACTTCTTTTCTGCCTCATGCTGAAATGTCGATTACATATAATAATGTACAAATAATTGAATAAGGGAGATCAAAAATCCACTAAGTCGCCATTTTGGTGAAATTAAGTTTTTGCGTAACATCCATTCTAAATCACATTTTGCACGATGTGGAACACAAACACCCTCCTAGTCATCGCCTTTAGCGAACTTATTTGAGTATAAAATATACGTGGAAAGCAAAACTTCCCTAAGTCTAACGACTAAGTGGGTTTTTGTATTCCATGCGCATGACCGTGCGTGGTTGTCCACCTCCAACTCACAGCTGATTGAAATTTTTAATATTGTAGTTAATTACCTACTATCGACGTACGATTAGTGACACGTTGTTTTGTGTTGTATAATGTCAGAATCAAATGATTCGGGTCACAGTGAAACAGAAATCAATGTAAAAAAGCGACGGCATGAAAAAGAATGGAAACGTAATAAAATAAAGAGACTAAAAGCTGAAGGGAAAGCACATGTTAACTGGAAAGGACGTCTGGTGCCTGCAAGATCTACTGGAGACAGTTGTAGGTAAGTGTTTTTATAATCTCACTAAGAACAAATTCGGCAAACACGGTGTTCATTATTGTAGCTGCAAACGCCTGTGTTTTTCAAAATTCAGTGCCGACTCCAAGCAACATATTTTGGACCAGTTTAATAAACTTGGTTCTGATGGAAATAAGATAGCTCAGGACACGTACCTACAAGGACTTATAAGTGCTCATGCGATCAAAAAACGTAGGCCACGAAAAGAAACTCCCTCAAGCACTAGGTGTGCTTCCTATACCTATAAAATTAAAATAGGAAACGAGGAAACTCCAGTATGTACTCAGGCTTTTTGTAGTTTACATGGAATAAAACCTGACAGGGTTAAAAGACTAGCACGGCTTGTGAATAGTGGGCTAGTATCACAGGAGCAGCGAGGTAAACATAATACTCGTCCAAATCAGGTGTCATCTCAAGTTCTAATGTTGATTGACCAACATATTCGCAGTTTCCCTTATCGTGTATCGCATTACGCTGCCAGTAACAAAAAACGAAGGTACCTCGCTAGTACACTATCTATTACAAAAATGTATGAGCTGTTTCTACAAAAACATGACTCAGAAGCACATAGAACACTCACATCAAAAAAGGTTTCCGCAGATAAAATACATGGAGTAGCATCTTACCGTACCTTCCTAAAATATTTTCGTGACCACTTTAACTACGGGTTTGGTAGGCCGCAAGTAGATAAATGCAGGGAATGTGAGCAACTGAATGTGAAGATTCAAACTGAAAAAAACGTCACGATTAGGGAAAAACTTCAGGCTCAACTGAAAGTACATAAGGTGAAGGGTAAGACGTTCTACAATGAAATAAAACGTTGCACAACGCTTGCAAAAAACAATGACGATACTGAAATGATAACATTTGACTATGAACAAAATCTCCCCGTACCAGTGACTAACGTTTCCGACGAATTTTATTTAAGACAACTCTGGGTGTATAACTTCGGAGTTCATGGGATGTCAGATGACAAGCAAGTTATGTACATGTATGATGAGACTGTAGCAAAAAAAGGATGTTCCGAAGTTACTAGCATGCTAAAACATTACATTGACAACTATGTTCCTGTGGCAGTTAGAAAGTTATACGTTTTCTCCGACGGTTGCACGGGACAGAACAAAAATCATACATTGGTGGAGTTTTTTTTCTCATTAATCAAGACAGGAAGATTTGATTACATTGAGCAACGATACCCAATAAGAGGACACAGTTACTTGCCCAACGATAGAGATTTCGCGAAAATAGAAGTCCAGAAACGAAAGCAAGGGAAAGTGGAGATACCCCAACGCTGGTACGAGATAGTCAGAGAAGATTGTAAATTTGAAGTTGTTGAGGTAAATAGAACAATGATTTTTGACTTTAAAAAACATTTTACCAATATCTTCAAAAAAAACATTACGAATGCTTCAAAGGAAAAATTCCTTATTTCAGAAGCAAAAATAATCAAATACTCCATCTCCCACATTAATGAAATCGCAGTAAGTACGGCGATGAGTGGCATACTTTTTACAAACTTCAGAATAATGAAACCGAACACCAAGATTTCTATGCCCACTCGCCCAATGTATGATGAACCCATTCCTGTAAAAGAAAAGAAGATAGCCAATTTGAAGCTGTTGATTCAGTACCTTTCTGAGGAAGGACAGCAGTACTTTACTCGCGTATTTGAAGGGGGTACAAATCCAGAGGACGCTGAAAGTGACTCGGATACAGAATATCTGTGAAAAACGTGACATTTTTTGTATCGCTTGCGTTTTGTGTGAGGATATATCATACTTTTCAGAATAAATTTTATTTTGTTTTTATGTTAATATTATATATATTCTTATAGTACGCATTAAATGTTTATTTCTGAAATTTTTTTGCTCTGGAAATCAAATATCCTCTAAGTCTGCAAAATTCAACCCCCTCTAAAAGGGTGCAAATGGATGTCTAGTAAAACTAGCCTCTGGTAGCTTGCTAGGTTCGATGTATCCATGATGTTATGTGAATATAAGATTGTTCCATTGGGAATTACGAGATAAAAATAGTTTTTCCTCTCTCCTGAAAAATTGGTGTTTCGTGACTTGTGGTGTTTTTGATTTCCATGATTCGTGAAAGAACACATCAGTTATCAAAAATGTAAATCTTTATTTGTTTGAACATGGCAAACTTTGGTGGCACCTAGAAGTACACATCGATTTATTTTTCATGCAAATACACCTTGCGCTGTTGCATTGTTTTCTTCCTGGTTTGCACATGCATTTAACAAATCCTTGACCGCCGCTTGTCATCATTACAGCTTCTCTGATTGACAAGTATCTAGTTGTGTTAATAGCATGTATGGAAAGGAACGCTGCACCTGCTAGTGATAAACATTCTGGTCCAAACCAACCCTTTAACATTCCATGCTGACAAGCTAATTGATTAACGCCGTTTTTTTGGTCCATGATGATGCATATTAAGTTTAGCGGATCTCCAGGTCCTCGATCTACCTTGGGTGTGCTTAACAACACACAATCGCCTTTCTTTAGTTTAGGTAACTTTTTCGTGGAACTGTTGAGCATTTTTTTTGCAGCTTCTTCAGTTTTAGTTCTAGTAGCTTGTCTTTCTCTAAGAATGTTACTTGAAGTAAAACATAACTGACATAATTGTGTATCAGCGTCTTCTTTGCTACAAGAAGCTGATATGCAATTGGGATGAACATTCTGTTGACATTTGTCACACCGCACTTTATTTTCTGAATTTAGTTCTTCTTCACAAATACAACACCTATCGAGTTGACAACTCGGATTATGATGAACAACGGTGTCCGTTACGCACGCACTAAGAACATCCGTCTCGATATTGTCAGTGTAATTTTCGTTATTTTCAATATCATTTTCCTCATTTTCGCCATCATTGTCCACATTTTCACTAACATTTTCACAATTAAGTAGTTCCTCTGCTTCTGCCGGTCGATCATTCAAAATCTCTTGTAATTCTTCTTCGGTTTCTATAGTCTTTGCCAATGACAATGGAATGTTACTAGAAGTAAGGCCAAGTTTTGGGTCACTTCCTAACAGAGCCTTGTATGGTGAACGTCCAATGGTTCTATGGAAAGAAATATTTTTTTGCCATTGAAGAAACTGTAAACCAATGGACCATTTCTTAGAATTATTGTCGTGCATCCAAGCGCGTATCATATCTTCTACATCTTTATTGGCCCTTTCAATGCTCCCTTGGCTTTGTGGATGTCTTGGGCGCCCATGTACCAGTAGACACTCTGGCCACATTGTTTTCAAGTCGGTGATTATGCGGTTAACAAATTCGCGACCATTATCGCTCTGAAGGATCTTCGGGGCCCCGATTAACAGAAAAATACTTAAGAGTTCTTTAGCAACTTCTTCGGCTCTCTTAGATTCTAATGCTCGCAGAAAGATGAATTTTGTGGAATGGTCCTGATAGTTCATAATCCATTTGAATTTACTATCAGGCATTGACTGGAAATCAATTAAGTCTACCTGGCCCCGTTCATTAAAGTCTTTCGAAACGATTGGCCGCACAACTATTTTTTTCCTTCCTTGCTTTTTTTCATTGCATGGTTCACAGCATGAGATAAATAATTCAATTGCTGGACGAGGAATACTGTATTTCATACGTAAAGCAGCTTCCATTTTAATTCGTCCCCCATGACCAGTTTTGTTGGTATGAACATCGTCCAGTTTTTCATATAGCTCCTCATATGCAACCACATATTCTATTTTATCTTCCGCGCCATGTTGCTTAATTAGATATGAGTTATTTCCCACAGTCATTACATCGTACGTGCTTAATAAAAAGTATTCTCTCCTTTCTTTTCGTCCGCTATAAAAAAACAACATTAAGATAGAGTAGGTAATAGCATGTTACTGTACTTACGTTTTACTTTTAGCTATTTGGATTTCGTTAATCATTGACTTAATGATATCTTTTGTGAACGGTTTTTTATTTGGTTTATCATTGTAATAATTTAACACCTTTTCATAAAATAAGTTCTTGCGCACACTAACATTTGAATCGTTCTTCTGTGACATTTTCACAAGGTATGTCAGATGTAAAAGTATTTAAAGACTGTTCGCACAACGACCGCTATCTAAGAACTGCCGATGTAAAATAAAAGGAAATGACTCATACTGTTTGGGTTGGAGTTTGTTTCAGCATGAGGCAGAAAGGAAGTTGCGTTTCATGAACTGTCTAAAATAATTAGTCACTTGGTGAAATATCATTTTATTTCACTATCTGGCTGCATTTCATGAAGTGTCTAGACTTTTCATGAAATGTCCAATTTCATTAAACGGCTGCGACATATATATACTTAGCTGTTATTAATAATTTGATTTACATAATAAAATACATTAAGGAAATAAATACACCAAACATGTGCGCATTTCACTACTTTTTTTTACTAAAACAACTTATTTTTCAGGTGGTTATAACCAGAAAACATGGTTTGGCCACTGGCTATAACTAGGTAAAAAGGTGGCCGTAACTCAAGGTTGGTATATGCCGTAACTGTGGTTCCTGTGGCCATAAGTGGCGAAAATTAAAGTTTTATGTTCAATATTTTTTTAAGAATATATATGCAAAATATTTTGCTATGTAAGCATCCAAATTTGTTTATCATCTATCTGCGTTATTATTTCTGATTTTTGTGCAAACATTATCTCATTTTTGGCTCATATACAAATTATTTTTCATATGCAGTTGCTAAAAGTGGCCATAACTGGCGCCTTGACCCTACATCTTCTGAAAAAAAAGTGATGACAACACAACTACAAACACTAAGAGAAAAATAAAGAAAAACTAAATATCGAGATGACTCAACTTGACCTCCACCACACCCAAATAGTATTGAAGTACAATTCCGCCTTATTGCGCCCCTGTAATATATTACCATTTATAGTTATTTATGCAATGAGTGTATAAATGAGGCGTTTTATTGGTGAGTGAGATGTTTAGTCCACGAGCGCAGCGAGTGGACTAAATTCGAACGAACCAATAACCGCCGATTTATACATGAATTGCATACAACGTTTTTTCGTCGACTTCACTGGGGTAGGTAATTTTAAATTCAACTACAAGAAATTACAAACGAAATTATGAGATCCGACGATTTTTCACTAAATTACAGCTATTGTCGTTGCTATAGTAATGTGTTGTTTTATGCTGTACCGTCAGTCCTCGTAATCGCAGTGGAAGATTATGTTGCTTGCTCTGCTGCGGAGACGATTTTAACATTATATCCACTCAAATCAAAAGAAACTTATTGGAACGGTTTCGATCAGTTCGGCAATTGATGGAATAGAATGAATTTGAAAAGAGATATTTCCGAAAATGTCACGTTGACATTTTACCTTGAAAAGGTATGTGAAATTAGAATGTAATTAATTCTTTTGCAACTGTACTAAAGTAGGTACGTGTATTAACAGTGAAAGATATGGAAATGTTCATCCCTGTGGTCGACGTACTCAATGTTGAAGATAAATAAGTAACTGAATACCTTAACAATACCTTATCCGAGGAGCTACACATACATACATCAGGATATGCTTTGCTGAGATCGTTTGGCGACCATACTGGCTGCTGATCTCACTACATTAAAACCGAGATTAAAATGGTTAGGTGGATGGAAGTTCTTAGCTGTTGCCGAAAGTGAATTGTTATATAATTGTCATTTCCCTTTAATAAAATGGTTGTTATGTATAAGTGGTTGCTAACGATTAATAAGCTTCATCATTGTACTCGTCACTAAGGAGTAATTTATATTGTTATCGAGAGGTCGACGAAAAACTTTGTTTATAATAGGTGGCGTGGCAATGCATTTTTCCATTGTTAATGTTATGCGCTTTGTATGGAAGTAGAGCAGTTCATTGTACTGTACGTTTTGATATGTTTTGGTTGCATTTGCAATTATACTTTAATGAGAAAACTCGGTGTTACGTTATTTTCGCCTGAATGACCAGTCTCGTTAACTGTAGTTTTGGTGAATTAGTCGTGATAGAGTTGTATTAAAGTGGTAAATTAAAACGTGTGTCCTACATTCGCGTGTGTTGAAAATGGCGTCTCAGAACATCATGCCCATCGGCATTAAACCCTTCGACGGACAGGGATATTCAAATTGGGAGTTCAGAATGAGGCTGCTATTAGAACATCACGGGGTTCTTGATACCTTAAACAACGAAGCACCTACCGATGTGGAAGAACGTGCGAAGTTCGTTAAGCAGGATATAAAGGCACGAAACCTGATTGTAAATTGTTTAGCCGACAACGTTCTCGAGATGATCAAAGCTAAGACCACAGCTAAAGAGATCGTAGACACTCTGAACCATACGTATCTCAAGACCGGTGTGGCTTCTCAAGTGCAACTACAGAGGAAGCTGCGGAACATGAAGTTTAGTGGAACCGACTCACTGGGTAACTACATTGTGGAGTTCGAAAAAACAGTGACTGAGCTGAAAAATGCAGTTGGTAAAATGGACGAATTGGAAATCATTTCACAACTGCTAGCGTCAATCACAAAGCCACAATATCAAAGTGTTGTCACAGCCATCGACATACTGTTCTCGCAAGAAAACTGCAAAGTAACTCTTGACTTTGTAAAAAGTAAGTTGCTGAGCGAAGAGCTGAAATTCAAGCAGATCGAGGGAGAGTCAGCCGAAGGTAGTTCGAGCAGTTTCATGAGTCACAGCGGCAAGAAAAAGAAATTTCCTTCAAAGTTTCCCCCAAGCAAGTTTTCGGAGAAGTTTCCCTACAAGTGCTACGGTTGTGGTGTCCAAGGGCACAAGAAATCCGAATGTCCCAAGAACAACCAAGGAAAGAAAGCTAATGTGACGGAAAACGACGATGAAGTGGCTTTTATAACTTGCATGTCGAGTGAAAACCATGGAAAAGAAACCAACAGGATTTTACGATTCGTGGTGGATTCAGGTTGTACAAATCATCTAGTTACTGAAGAATTTGAACAGTTCATGACAGAAAAGCGACAAGTACAACGTAATATCAATGTGGCAAAGAAAGGCGAAAGTGTGCAAGCCAACACAGAGGGAACGCTGCATGTAGAAACGGAAGACGGCGTAAAAGTAAGGTTAGAAAATGTACTAGTATGCAAGAATCTTACACATAATCTGCTTTCGGTAGAGAAAGTAGAGTCCAAAGGCATGGGGATCGTTTTTGAAAAGAACCAGGTGTTAATAAGGAGTAGAAAGGATCGGGTTCTGGCTAGAGGAAAATTGGAGGGTAATCTATATTTTCTAAATTTGCTTTCACCGAATTTATGTGAGGCAAATGTGACGGGAATTGATCAAGATTTGTGGCACCGAAGAATGGGTCATTCTTCGACTTACCCAGCTTCGAAGGTCTGCGAAGTGTGTCTGCAAGGGAAACAAACAAGAAATCCTTTCAAAACCTTGGAGCCGGAGAGAAAAGCGAAGAAGTTGCTCGAGTGTGTGCCCAGTGACGTATGTGGACCGTTGAATCCAGTCGCACACACAGGAAACAGGTATTTCATTACCTTTATTGATCATTATTCACATTTCACTGTTGTTTATTTCCTCAAACACAAAAGTGAGGCATTTGAAAAGTATAAGGAATACCAGTAGATGAGCAAAGGGACTTCTAGACCAGGAAGTGACGTCACGCCAATGAGAATCGAGTATTGTGGTCACGTGGTGAGGTGTGAGCCAATGGGAGCGCGTGAGTCGGCCATTTTGTGACGTCACATTTTGCGTGTTTTGCTTCCGGTGTTTCTGGACCAGGAAACGCGTCATAGCTTGTGAAATATTTGTCTGAAAAAAAGGCTGCGTCGAGGATTTGAACCGTCGATACGTGAATTACGAATCTGCCGCCTTAACCATCTGAGCTAGGCGAGGCTTTGAGCTATGAACGTTTAGCAGTTCAAGTATTGTTAGAATGTGGGGGGGAGCGCGATTGCAGGGGCGTAGAGGGTAGCAGTAGGAGCGGGAGATACCCCTAGGCCGTATAAGCTATTTCGTAGGAGCGGGAGCTACTCCTATTATGTTTTTAGAAAAAGCGCGTAATTGAAAGAGGAAACTGCAATCTCGCTTGCAGTGATAACATTTATAAATAGGCGCGCTTTACATTTCTATATTGAGAAAGCGCGCAAGATTATTATAGGCGTATTAACCTTTAATAATAGGTAATGGTGGATCGCTGTAGAGGTAGTAGAAGAAATATTTCACAGGATCATCAATAATGGTTGGCGCAGCTAACCCTACCTGCGACGTAGGTTTTAGTAACAGCGCGCGAAATTTAGTTGTTTGTTATTATAATTAGGATGGGAAGCTGCAATCTCGCAATAGTGTTTATTTATAGCAGCTATGATAAGACGCTTAAATCGTGTGCGAAAAATAATTTTTCATATTGCTAACTAGAAAGGAAATGAGCTTATCTTCTTTATGCTTTATTTTTAGACGCATTATTCTAATATTACATTCTAATATGACATTGGTTTTCGAATATGCTTTGACGAAATACAATCATTACAATAAATCATTAGCGGAGCGGGTCCATCGATGTGAGTGCGCTGCCACGGCTGGTTCCAATGTTTCTTACATCGTATTCGATTACGTAATTCACAGTCTCTTTGCAATACGTTGGGGATCTTGATCCATATTTTCAATAATTCCTCTACACTTAAACTTAACAATTCGCTCTTGGTTCGAATATAATTAGACTCCTTTTGAGCCTCTCGCTGAGCGATGTTGGCAAGTATTCGATCCATTAGAGTTCGATATGAGGATTTAACGCAATGATTTTTAGCATTACCTCGTTCTCAGTTTTATACCTATACCTTTAAGATACACTGCGCATGATGGATTTCTTTTAACCCCCTCCAAAGTAGTTTTAAGAGAAGGTATAAAAGCAATAAGAAAGTAAGAAATCGATTTATATCGAGATGAGTGCACAAATACAACAAGAATCGCAAGATTCATGGGGTAGCGAAGATGATGATGATGCAAAGTCATCGCTTTCGGTAGATAAATTATCGGTGAATGAATCCTCGAAAGAGGAGCAAGGTATGTATTGAATAACGCTGATTATGGTGGAAGCAAAAGATGTATGTTTATAGGAAAGGAAACCTTAATATCCGCATGGTCGCTATTCTTAGACGGAGGCATTATTCTCGAAGTTGGCGTTACACTGGACGAGTACTTTTTCGATTCCATCGTGCAAATATCATGTCCTCCGCATTATGAAGACCAGTATTTACAATTTGAGAGTTGCGAATGGAAAGAAATATTCAATTTTAAAACGGAACACTTAATTAAACATATGGTGCAGTGTACGCCTAAAAGAAGGAGCAAGCATGAAATTTTTACCCAGTCCAAAATAATAATACTTGAAGCGGAAGAAGAAGAAGGCGTTAGATGTATTCGAATAAGCGAATCAGATAAATCTATACTATTTTCCAAGCAAGCAGTCGATATGATATTTAACGCTTCCGAAGTGATTACTCAAAAACTGAATGTCGTCAATCACTATGCGATGTATTGTCTTTATGATGACTTTACGCGTGAGTTGGCAAAAATTCTACATACCGAAGGTGTTACTAGCGAAGAGAGCATTTTATCCAGAGCGAAAATCATATGCCAAAATCTCAAATTCTTAACATCGCTATGCAGTTGGAAGGAAAAGTATGATAATTTGCAAGACTTTACTCTTCTAACAGAAATTGTAAACATTCACCCTCGAAAATTTATAAATACGGTTGTTAGTAAAATTAGCATGTTAAAATAAATAATTTTATAGCGTAAAAAATGCTTTTTATTTATTCATACGTATCGATACACAACAACTTATTATCCACCTAATGCCGCATATACAATTCAATTTGTTTATCAAACTTTAAAAGTTTAGCTAATACATTATATAATTGCTCCAATACGCCTTTATTAGCACAATGAATATTGAATAAGGATAGATCAATGTCGCCTGAGTGAATTACACGACCTGTATATTCACTATATTTATGAAATTTATTTCCGGTGATAAAGTATAGGTATCCATCCATGTATTTAAATATAGAAGTTATCTTAACCGGAATATCTGGAAAGGTTTCCGCATATATTAAGCGATTTTTAGGTCGATTACTACAATCATCCAAATCTAGCAGTTCATTTGTACCATGATAAATAAGCGTGCGTCCGGTATAGGTGTTAACTGCAGCATTCACTTTATGGCTGTTGGGAATTGTGAAGTGGCTATAAGGCTGAGGCCATCCTGGTAGCAGTTGCAGACTAGGGAATTGCACTATGTATATGCGACCGCCACTAAAGAAGACAGCATTGCCGTTAGGCTTTTGATATACCGCTTCCAAACGTTTAAAAGATGCCGGAAGAAACGTTAACCACTCAAGCAGATTCTTGGCAGGTTCCACTTTGCTGCTGTTTAACGCCGATATCCAAACCCAATGTTCATAAAACATATAAAGTCGTTTGTTTAGAATCAAAAAGTGTTCGATTTGAATGGTACACAGGTCAGGTGGTTTAATGGTCTTGCGAGTAGTCTTGAGAGTAGGTGTAGTTGTCTTAATACGCGTTGAAAGATGATAAGTTTTATTCTCTGGTGAAGGGGTGGCAGCAGCAGCAGCATCAATAGAATATAGTGCTCGGATTCCGGCTATATCATCCTCATGTAGCGTGTTCATATTTGAATAATTGTAATAAGGAAACATGAGTGCATTTTCATCGCTCGAATGGTGTAATCCGAGAGTATGGCCTATTTCATGTAATACAACTTGGAAATAACTAGAATAACCGGGAGGAGGTGCATTTGCATCTGCTACATGCCAGCGTTCTTCCCAATCTATATGCATTTCAACAACATTCTGATCTCTGGAGGGAAAGTATGCATGGGCTAATACATTGCCCAATCCATCAAACTCGAATGCACATTGCGGATATGGTGGTGAAGCGAACTCATGCTTTCGGGTATGAAATGATATTAATATGTCTGGGTTCCTTGAGCTATATTTGAATTTCAAATTTGTGTGGTTCGCCCAAACTTGAAATGCTTTATCCGTCATCTGTAAAATGTGCAGGTCATGCATATTGGAAATATAGTAAATCAAAGTCTGTTTTGTCCATTTATACCGATGAGTCATATACGCTGCTGGGTCATCAATATTTCCGCATCTAGGTCGAGACATGAGTTGTAATGTTTCGGCATTTAATCTGCCATCACTAGGTAGTTTATAGAGTTCTTGAAATTTCTTTAAAGCGTTAACGGTGATATTTGTACGATTATCTTGAGTTGATTCACCTTCACCAGGCTCCTTTATATATCCATATTTGGTGAGATGACTATATGCCATATCGATTTCACGCTCACTGATTGTATCGCTCTCGTCGACATTATCCGCAGCAGCAGCAGCATTAGCACTAATACAGAAAAACCAGCTCAGTACGACAACTGCAGCTTGCATGATTGTAAAATCTATACTGATTCAAAAGTTTCTTTTGGAGGACTAATAAGGATGTGGTAGTGGGGGGATATATATTGAAATGAATTAAAAATTAGGCTATAAATACTTAATCTTCTGTCAACGACAGAATGGTGCAGACTGTAATCGATGTACAAGGATTTAAAACATCAAGAAACGTATTTATACCAAAAGAACTGGCAATTTATAATGGCAAGCAGGTTGCTCATTTTATGTTCAAGCCTCCATTTCCGTGGAATAGCTTATCTACCGATTTACAACGTCAAGCTACCTGGCTAATTCATAACCATCACGGAATTAAATGGGAGCACGGTCATACGCCATCCTACATGTTTCCAATTATACTTCGCCAGTTAATATCATCATCAGACCAAATATACGTTAAAGGAAAAGAAAAAGCCGATTTCATTCGAAAAACTCTATCGCAAAATGTCACCGAGGTGGAAGAAGAACCAGCTCTACCTAAATTAGAAGCATGTTGCTACTATCATGTACGATCACTTTGTTGTTGCGCTTTATCTAACGTTTATTATATTTATAATACTCATGTAATTCAGTAATTTTTTAAATAAAACAACCAAATTCAATCATTTTTACTTTATTGCAATTGATACATCTTAATACGATTACATAATATGGGTTCCAAAACAGCTGCAATGCGTTCTATTTTACATTTGAAGCGGTACCTATCTAATGCGACAGTTTCCCACTGGCCCTTTCTTGCTTCTCTGTGAGCATAGGACCAAACTCGCAAGATATAAATTTTATTTTTTTGATTCGTCAAAGCTGACACTCTTCATTTATATAAAGTTTAATTACACTTTTACGTGAACTATAATTAAGTTTTGCGTACGATGCCAGTGAACGGCTCATACTCGATTAATGCATCATGTAAAATAACGCAGTAAGCGATAGTTTCATTTGCAAATGCAGATGATGCTTCAACTTCCAGCTTCAAATCGATCACCACGTTATGGACGCTCTCGTTTTGACGGGTGCAATTGATAATGAAGATAGGCTGCTTTTCGAACTCTTTGTAGCTAAGAAGGGAGCTCTCCTGTGACGAGTCGTAATATTGATTACGAAAGTTTAAATATTCTTCGTAAGCATCCACATACTTGTTATCGGTAAAGACCAGATTTTGCTGCTCATACGGATATCTTCGGTTGTTAATGTTTGCTTTTATATTGGAAATGCTTAAATGGTTAAACTCGCTCGCATCTGCTTCTTTGTTATTTCGCTTCCTAGTTTGGAACGCAATCAGTAGCCATTGAGGCCGTTGATGGTGCTGTTTATTCCGGGTAATCGAACAGTTTCTATCACCTGGTCGCCCAAAATAAATCTAATTTCGTCGAAGAGAAAGAGCGGCGCGTTGTTGGTGAAATCGTAAGCTTTATTTGCGGTAGTCGGATTCAGCGTTCCTTCTAAATATATAACGCTATCGTAGGTGGCCGTGATGAGATCCGCTTTCTGTATGACGAGATTGATCTCATCGGAGTTACCATAAGCGTTTGTCGTATAAGGATGGTATGTTCTGCGATCGGATTCGACGATCATGTCTTCATACTTTACGCCCGTGAATAGGTTTTTTAATGCTTCTTCCATCTTTTCTTAGTACTGTATAGCCGAGATATTGCAAAAACTGTACGTCGTCTTCGGTTAATGCGCCGTTAGCAATTGTTGCGTCGATGGCTGACGATGGATGACTAAATGAAGAACCTTGCTTACAGAAAATTTTAAGTCCCATATTTTTTCAGCTCCAATCGAATAGTTACTCTTTCTTCGCCGAAATCCACTAAATGACCGTCTTGATCGACTAACCTCAAGGTTATGTTATCTATTTGATGCGTGAGTACCGGTAAATATATAATCGTAGCCGGCTCCTTGATTAACTTATAGCCCGGCTCAACGTGTACGTCAAATTCAAAGATTGTATGAGATAGCGCACTGTTTCTGTATGCTCCACCCGTTAAATTACACTCGACGTGTATATTAGTAGCGTTGATTATTTGCACGTCCGGATCAGATTCATGGGTTCTACCTCCTTTATACAATTTAGGAGAGAAACCGAGCATGCGACCGATGGAGTTCGATTTCCTAAAGTCAATATCGTGTATGGTTTTCATTTCGCATTTTAGCGTATTATTATTAGGTCTCAACATAAAGTCCATCGAATTGGTTGGTTCGTTTATATGATGCTGTAGAATCCTGTTGATCTCTTCAATTTCATACGCGCCACTCGGAATGGTAATCTCTTTGAAGATGCTATCGGCCGCTGCATAGTAAAATTTGTTGTTTCCCTCAAATATATTGCGTATAGAATTACAGCCGTAAAAGCCAACCAACCCTAATCCATATTGATAATTATGGTCTAGTTCGATCGGCGGAAAATATGAGGTGCTGAGGACGTTGCCGGCACCTGTTAAGGTGAACGTTTGAGACATGACTGATGAAGTAAACAAACTCTAGGTTCAATTATTTATTATACAGAAAATTTAAACATAAATGTCCACATATCAGCGTATTATAATTTTGCTCCCTAGTATAATTGTATATGATGTTGCATCCGGATAAATATTTAACTATTTCTATTGGTGGCGTCAAGTCGCCGAAGCTATCATAGTAAACTGCCTTCATGCCGCGTTTCTTGAAAGCAACCCAATGCGTACCTCTTCCTTTAGCATCATCCAGGTTTACGATAGCGCACTCGTTTAAATGAGGTTTTCGCGGTAATGTATCACGCATAAACACTCCTCTGAAGAAGGGTACGTCTTTAGCATACTTCACAAGATCCGAGTCCGTTAATGCTTTTCGCGGCAAATTTAAAAGTTTTTTGTCGGATATGGTTTTAAATACAAGGCGTATCCCGTTTTACGCGGTTGAAGATACAGCGAACTGCCTTGTTTGCCCAACGAGGCGGCCTCCATTGCCATGTTATGCCGTTTATTTTCCTCCAGCTGCTTCTTCGCGGCCGACGCATCGTTAATTGCTTTAGCTATACCGCTAGCTCCACCGGCCATTGCGCCCGCAGCCGAAAGACCGGCAAAGAGCGGTACTAGGAACGGAAGAAAACCTCCGACTTTAGGTATTGGTATCACTCGCGGCACTCTCACTCTTTGCTTACCGCCTGCAGCTTTAACCGCTCTCTTGGCGGCCAACAAACTTATTTTGATAAGTTTATTCAAGTTTTCCGATGATGATAGGCCTTTTATTGAATTTCGAATTGGCGTTAAAACTCCACCTCTAAACGAACAAGTCTTCTTCTTTTTCCCGCGCTTTGCGATACGTCGTGTTGCTCCCATGCCAAGCTTCCTTTTGGCCTTCATTGCTCCAGCTACGGCTAATGCTGCTGCTTTCTCTCCAAAACTAGCGTCCTTTGCCTTTACACGATCCCAAGCTCGAATTTGAAGTTCTTTATCGGCCCGATGACGATTCTCAACGTCTTTGAATTGATTGTATGCGATGTCGTGTTGCTTGCATGCAGCGTCCAACTGATTTATTCCTTGATCACCCCGAGCTAGACGCTGCTGTAGTTTGGTTCCCGGTCCGCAGTATTGATATCCGGGGATATGAAGTTCCACCGGCAATTTGTTTATCAAGCTGTTTATAAACCCCTTTCCTACTCGGCGATCGGCCATGAACTGATCAGTATAACTCAAACTATCGAGTAATAATGAAGTTTATGAAGCAACCTCAGCAATTGCATGTTGAGGATCATGATTTGTATACTGAATCGGAAGTGTCGGGGAAACACGGCTCATTATTTCCGGCTTCAATTAGAGCGGTCATCTGTGGACCATCGGGATCCGGAAAAACGAATGCGATGATAAGTTTATTAGAAGCAGCGAATGGTCTGAAGTTTGAAAATGTATATGTATACTCCAAGTCGTTAGAGCAGCCGAAGTATAAATATCTGGAACAAGTACTTAAACCCATTAAAGGCATTAAGTATAATGCTTATAGTGATAAGGATGACGTAATAACTCTAGAGGAGATTAGCAAAAATTCGATAATGATATTTGACGATGTTGCGTGTCTAAATCAAGATATAATTAGGGATTATTTCTGCAGAGGACGACATTCTGGTGTGGACTCGTTCTATCTTTGTCAGACATATTCCAAAATACCTAAGCAGTTAATACGCGATAATGTAAACGTTATTGTTCTATTTAAACAAGACTATATAAATTTAAAACATGTATATGATGAGCATGTTGGTAGTGACATGACCTTTGAGCAGTTTAAATTAATGGGTTCAAAGTGTTGGATGCATAAGCACGATTTCATGTGTATTGTAAAGGACTTTGATTATGGCCGATATCGACGAGGTTTTGATTGTTATATCGCACTTGGGCAACTTTGAACTACTGTTGAACAGCATCATTGAACCGGTGTGGGCAGCTTTGAACCGATGTTGGACCGCCTCTGAACCGCTTATGAACCGCTTTCGAACTGCTTTGAACCGGTTTGGACAGCTGTGAACCGATATTGGACCGCTATGAACCGCCTTTGGACCGCCTCTGAACCGCTTATGAACCGCTTTAGAACTGCTTTGAACCGGTTTTGGACAGCTGTGAACCGATATTGGACCGCTATGAACCGCCTTTGGACAGCCTCTGAACCGCTTATGAACCGCTTTCGAACTGTTTTCAACCGGTTTTGGACACAGCTTTGAACCGATGTTGGACCGCTATTGAACAGCTTTTGATTGCTACGAACCGTTTTTGCGCCGATATGAACCGCCTTTGGACCGCTATTAGAAGCACTTTTCATCGATAATCAGTTTAGTTGATTGTATGCGGGCCGTTAAGATGAACGCGCAAGATCAGGCAATTAAAAGAAAATTAACTAAAACCCGTAGCGAAATAAAACGCAAGCTTGCGGCTCTTAAAAGAGGCGAAACCGAAACATTGCGATTAGTGGAAGAGACTTATAAGCCTATAGTTGACCCATTGAAGACGCTAGCTAAGCAGGAGTTGAAAAAACAAGCGTTAACGCCAAAAGTTGAAAATAAAATTGAATATGAATCAACTCCAATGCAAGAACAATTTGCAACGCCTCGACGCACCGAAAATACTGCAGTTCGTAAACGAATTAGTTTTCCGCCCGATATTAGCGAAATAGCGCTTGACGAAGAAGAAAACGATGAAGCGGAGGAAACTACTAGATCGATTAGCAACTTATCACAGCTACATGATGATCAGCAATTTTTAGACCAGTATCATCATTTACCTCGCCATTATATCGACCGGATGATTAAGGATGCAACGGGAGAGGTCGATCACGTTCACGGACTTCGATACGATTCCGAATTCAAAGAGTGGGCTATAGGAGATTCTATAGTGCAGTTTGAAGGGCCCGATATAAACATAAAAAATACACTTTATACCGGCACTCCTGGGCTATATGAATTGCTCGTGCTTAAAAAGCCGCATAATTACTCCTTCAAGGATAGTCAATCGTATAAAGATATTTTATTAGCTACTAACGCATACAAAAGGAACTACGATCCTAGACAACAAATCATGGGTACTAAGTCGCATAAATACGTTAATATCGTGAAGCCGCTACTATCGGAACATTTTGGAGCAGGTGTGAAGGAGGTTAATAATAAACAGAAGGAGTACGTGTACTGGAATACTCCCCACGAACTAGTCGAGCGTCTCAGACTGTTACACGCATCGCAAGCAGCCGGTCATACCGGACACAACAACGAGATTTTAAGCATTGAAGAGGAGCTCCGAGA